AGACTCTGTGATCATGGAGGGTGGCTCTATGACATCAGAGAGTGGGTTGAGAGATCACTGGGTGTCTGAGTAACATCACAAAACAGGCTGTGACATCACAGAACAGGCTGTGACATCACGGAGTGACTTTGTGACATCACAGTGTCTTCTGTGATTTCACTGCACAGCTGTATGACACCACACAGTGATATGCCAGCCTTGGGACTGTGACATCACAGGGGCTGTGTGACATCACAGGGGCTGTGTGAGGTCACTGGGGAGGTCACTCTGCCCTGGCCCCCTCACGGTTCCCCTCAGAGCAGTCCAACCCTGCTCGTGCACAGCGGGGTCCCCTGTCCCCCGGGTCCCCCCGCCCCCGGCGCTTCAGCCTCCCCCAGAGGATGTTCCACGAGATCGACCCCAGAGCCTGACACGGGAATGGGGGGCCGGGGCCCTGGGGGTGGCACAGGGGGACAGGGACCCCCCGGCAGCATCCCTGTGTCCCCCAGGGCCAGAGCCTGGGCCAGGGCTCCTTCATCGTGTTACCAACGAGGGGCTGAGAGCGCTTAAAAAATCCCCAGCAAGGGATCAGCAAAAACCAGATTTAATATTAAGTGACAGCAGCACAGAGTTCCTTGGCAAGAGTCACTCTGCTCCTGACTGGACACTTCAGGCACACCAAGGAAACAAAGCAACAACAGAACCAAAAAAATCCAGGCAGTCAAACCAGAAATGAACCATGAACTGTCCGTGTGTCTTTGCATGCATGCATGTGTGCCTAAAGGACAGTGAGGGCAAGGATAAAAGGAATGCAGCCTAAAAGCTAAACTGAGCTCAAACTTAACAGGACTTGACTGATACCTTAGACTTCAGCATTTAGCAAAAGAACAGCACTTAACAGTATCTAACCTTACTTATAATTTATGACCTAATGATTTCACAGTGGAATAACACTTAACAATATTCAACTTAGCTTAAAACCTATATTGAATGCAACGACTTAGGAAAAGAACAACTCTTACCAGCATTTAACTTTGCTTACAGCTTGTGACTCACCCTTACTTACAGGCCTGACTGACTCAGCTATCCAAGGCACTCAGACCCCTCAGAGAGCAGCATTTCTGCCACATTTCCCCAGCACAGGCACTCCTGTGCACACACAGACACCAAGAGTCAGTGCAAGGCACCTGGGAGAAATTCCCCTGAGGGCAGGAAATGCTCCCTGAGGATCCTTTGGCATCTCCCCAGCAGGCAAAGGGCTGAGCCTGGAGGAGTGGGGAGATCAGCCCAGGCTCCGTCGTTGTTGGGGATCCCCGAGTGCAGCAAACAGGAGAGTTCCCGGCTGGGAGAGGCCCCACTCAGAGGGAGTCGCTGGCCCAGGAGAGCTCCAAGGGCTCCTTTTGGAGCGCTGTGTGCAGGGCCCCAAGAGAGGGGCTTCAGTGCCAGCAATGGTTCATCCTGGCCGCACTTGGCATCAGCAGCTTTCTTTGGCAGGGTGAGAACAGGGATGTTGTGCCATGGAGGGAACAGAAACAGCTCCCAGGGCTGATCCTACAGAATGCAGGAGCTGGTTGGGCAGCAGCAGTGCCTGGAGCAGACAGTGTTTATGATGAGCTGCAGAGGAGCTGAGCCCAGGGGCTGTTGGCCAAGGCTGAGGCCAAGGAGCATTTCTCATCTGGCAGGGCGGCCTGAGAAGGGGAGGGGGGAATGCAGCAGCACAGGGCCCATGGAACCAAGTGACCATTGTGACACTGTGGGGCCTTGTGACACCAAGGGACCATTGTTACACTGTGGGGGTTCATGGAATCATAGAGACCAGTGTGACATTGCTGGGACTCATGGGACCAAGGGGACCATACTGACGCTGTGTGACTCCATGGAATGTAGAGATCATTGTGACACTGAGAGGCCCCATCAAACCAGGGCTCCATTGGGACACCATGGGGCCTCATGGAACCATCCAGACCATTGTGGCACTTTGGGGTATCATGGAACCAAATGTCCATTGTGACATTGCAAGGAACCATTGAACCATGGAACCATGGAAAGACCATTAAGATACTTCACAGCCTCATGGAACCAGGGGGCTGTTGTAAAAGTGAGGGGACTCATGGAATCATGGAGACCATTGTGACACTACGAGGCCCCATGGAATAAGCAAAGCATTGTGACACTGTGGGCCACCATGGAACCAAGGAGACAATTGTGACACTGTGGGGCCTGATGAAACCAAGAGGCCTTTGTGACATTGCAGGGCTGCATGGAACCAAGGGGCCATTGTGACATTGCAGGGACTTCTGTCATCAGTGGTCCATTGTGACACTAAGAAACCAAGGGGGACCATTGTGACACTGCAGGGCTTCATGGAACCAAAGCTCCAGGGTGACACAGACAGGCCGCCTGTCATCAATGATCCATTGTGACACTGTGGAGCCAAAGGAGACCATTGTGACACTGCAAGGCCTCATGGAATTGTTGGAACCATTGTGATACTCCGGGACCTTAAGGAACCTGGGGGCCATTGTGACACCTCAGGACCCCATAAAACCAAGGGAACACGGAACAGGTCTGGCTGGTTTGGCCTCCCATGGGCCACCTGACTGGTCCAGCTGACCTCGGCAATTGAAGGTCTCTTCTCATCTGCTGCTGAAACACTGGGGCTCCGTGCTTTCCTTCCTATGGAAGTGAACTGCCCTTCTTGGCCAGGTGCCCATGGCCAGATTTGGCTTCCACCTCCAACATTACCTGTTGTGGAGGAGAGCCCCTTGAGAGCTGAGTGTGCCAAAGGCAAAGCTCAGCTGCCCTTGGGGGCTGCAGGAACACTCAAGAGCCCAAAGAGGCGCCATGGCTGTGCTGGAGACCAAGGCTGGAGGAGGGAAATGCAGGGCTACTGTGCAATGGGGAGGGGATGGAATTCCAGCAGACTCATCAGCTTGCAAGGTGCTCTGCTCTCCCTCAGCTCCTCTCTGGGAGATGCCAATCCCAGCTCAGAACCTCTGGCTACTGGGGCCCTCCCAGGAGAACTGCCTGTTCATGGGCACACAACTGATGTCGGCCTGGAAAGGGGCACAGGTTTTAATAGCTGTTAGCTTCATTATATAGAAGCAAATCTTTATTATCTGGGTCATTGAGGACTTTTAAAAAATGGCCAAGTTTTCCCAGAAGGAACAGGAATTTCCTGGATCAACTGGATTCTTCTACTGATGGCAGGAGAAGAAATATTGATCTTTCCCTCTAGCTTTGCCTCCAACATTCAGTCTAATATTTCATTCCCTTCTTCCTTCAGGTGTTTTGAGCTCTCCTGGTTAAATGGCCATGTCCAAGGACATCTCTTCATTTAGAGCAGCTGCATCTATGTCTTTCCTGTTGCCCCCACATTTCCTCCTGCAGCTGTTCTCTGGTCATTCCAATGCATCTGCCTTGAATGGCTTCATGCTTTGAGCTTCAGGGAGTTGCCCAGTCTTTCAGAAGTTTAAAGAACTCTATATTCAGCATCTTAGATGTATTTTTATCTTTCATATTGCCTCTTCTCATGTCTTTGTCTAAATCCTTTCTATGGCAATCCCTTGTGGATGGTGGACATGTCAGATGTTGTTGTGATGTCAAAATGAGCAGAGGGAAGGGTTTTGATGTCTGTTAAATTTTCAAATTTTCAAATTTTTATGTTGGCCATGAAGAGAAACCTTTCTGTGTCTCTGAGTCTCAGCAGTTCCTGGTCCCTGCAAGGACACAAACCTGATGAGTTGTGGTTGCCACTCCAGGGGCTGCACTTGCACCTCCCTCCATAGCCAGAGCAGAGCTCCCTTGTCCCAGAAAGTCCCTGGCACTAGAGGGATGAAGGAAACAGGACAGGCTGTGGGGATCAGGGGCAGGGCAGAGCCAAGGGGAAGAATGACTTTTGCACTTGATGGAGCTGTGCCTTCCCTTGGCTCTGTTGGCTGACAAGAAATGAACATCCCTCTATGTCTCGGGCAGCTCCTTCTCCAAGGAAAGCAGGTGGGAGTTGGAGCCAAGGAGCTGGAACCTGCAGGTGCAGCCTGGGCTGGAGGCAACTCTGTTGCCGTTATGGCCTAGCGACCTGGTTCGGGAGGTCCGGCACGGTGACCCAAGGCCCAGGGTCACTCGGTCCAATGCTACATACACCAATGTGGTGGACAGCAAATTGGCGTTTATTGAGGGGTCTCAGGGGGTATTTATGGTTTGGGCAGTCTGTGTCATTTCCCTCTGCTCATGTCCGGCCGGGTGTGGCTGGGTACAGAGCAAAGGTCAGACTGCAGGGTGAGGGGGAGCTTCTTATCTACCCGTACAGCCCGAGATCTTCCGCACGCAAGTCCCTAGCTCTCCACATTCCCCCCCCCCTCATGATTAGTAAAAATCTTATAAAGTTATAAAATGTAAAGGTTACAAAATTTCATGGGTTAGTAGAATTAGCGTAAAATCGTAAGTGTGTTAGTAAGTGGCACGCCTTAGAGTAATTGTCGGCGCTCGAGAAACAAAATGTTAGCCGTTTCCAAACGCCTTTTAACAAATAGCACCAGTTTGTTTAATATGCAAGGCCCGAAGATTAGGGTTACTAAGATTATAGTGACTGGGCCTATTAGGGTAGAAATCAGGGTGGTGAGCCATGGAGACCGGTTGAACCACGACTCAAACCAGCCCTGTTGAGCTTCTCTATCTGCTTTCCTTAGGTTTAGGCGATTTCTCAGTTCGGCCATGGAGTCTCTGACGACTCCGGTGTGGTCTGCATAAAAGCAGCATTCCTCTTTCAAGGCAGCACACAGGCCTCCTTGCTGCATGAATAAGAGGTCCAGTCCTCTCCTGTTTTGGAGGACAACCTCTGAGAGTGAGGAAAGGGATTTTTCCAGGGAAGAGATGGATTTCTCGATCCTTTGCAAGTCCTCATCAACTGTCATCTGCAGTTGTGCCAGTCCCTGATGCTGTGTTGCAAGGGCCGAAATGCCTGTGGCAGCGCCGGTAGCTCCTAAACCGAGGAGCATTGCGATGGTGATGCCTGTTATCACCTCTCGTTTGTAGAGCTGGTTGGGTTCCTCGAGCAAGCGGTACACCTCTTCTTCCTGGAGATACAGGACTCTGGGGACAATTAGAACTTGGACACAAAAGTCAGTAGAATGATCAAATTTGTCAAGGAGTACACATGGGCTTACCCCGGATTTGTGGCAGACCCACATTCCCGATGCAGCTGGGATCACCCACTGGAACTTCCCTCCCTTAAGTTTGACGAATTCCTTGCAGACGTTGCCCATCTGCTTTGCCAAGGTTGCATTGCCAAAGCATTTGCCCTGGCCCGTAACCTGACTTAGGGTGATACCTCTCCGGGGGGTGTCCCATCTGCATTGGTGTGGATTGTTTGACTTAGAGAAGATGAATGGGAGATCGAAGGCCACGCCTTCGTAAAAAGGGGGTTGTGCATCATAGCATAACCAGCATGATTCTGTGAAGTTTGGGTTGGATTGGTTTAACGATAAGAAGGTAGCATTTAACACGCTTAAGAATGGGCTGGAGAGGGTTGGTTTGGTTAAGAGATCAGATGGGGAGGCTAGTTTCGACCTCTGTGTTTCGCGGCTAGAACTACCGTTAGCTGCGATCTCTTCCCTGGGTCTACTTACTACTAGAACCGGATTGGGTCCGACTGATTGGGATACTGAAGCTGGGAGTCTGATAATTTGTATGTTCGCCCAGATGCTGCGGCTAGGGAGATGAGCATACGCTGTCCACGCTTTACCTGTGGCCCACGCATCATGGGTCGGCTGCAGGATTGTCATTATATAACCTGTGCAAGTGTGCTGTTTCAAGCCTCCGGGCATAAGCACATACCCATCTCCGTCATATTTTGGTTCAATACAGCCGTGTGGAGTGTACTTAATTTGCAGGAACTTATCCGGCTGTTGAGGCGTCCATCTATTGCTTATCACAATAGTTTCACAACCCCAGTATCCACAATATCCATGCCCTGGGTAATTACAATAACTTTTTCCTGGGTTGGAAGCAGGGCACCAGTACATCCCAAATACTGTTGTCTCCTGGAATCTGGGGTGCCCTGTATGCATGGGAAAAATGTCTTTTAACCTGAACTCGAAAGATGGGATGTCGGCTGTAACAATTTCTTTGATGACCCCCTCACCTGAGAGATGGCGTAGAACCCACCTGAATGGCTGGTGAGGGTAATGTTTTGTATCTGCTTGTCCTCCGCCTACTAACCCTAGAAACAAGATTACACAGAGATACCGTTGCTGCTTTAATTTTGATGGCGCGAGCTTCTCAGGTGATGTCGGGTTGCTCGTTGGCCTCTCTCTCTTTTCCAGTAGTGGGGAATATGAGGTTCGGGGACGTCCAATGATCCAGTCCTGCAAACAAAGTCTCACAATTCTCATGAGTTTCCCTATGAAGGTCTGGTTTGATAGATTTGAGTGGACGCCATTTAATGTCCCCGTCCTTTTTAACAGCCGCATATCCCCGCCCCGTGAGCACCAATCTCCAACCCTGTTCCCACTCCCCTAGTTCATTTTTGATCACCACCCGTGGGCCTTCCTCTAGCGCCCGAGTGGCCCAGTGTCTCTGAGCAGGACTGTTTGTTTCGTCCCCCCTAGGGAATTGATTTAGCGCTAGCAGCGCGGTTGCCAGCATGCGCGCCTGGTCACCCGGGGGAATGGCATTGGTGAAGCCTTCTGCCTTTGCTAGCACTTCCAGCTTAGTTTTCAGAGTCTGGTTTGCCCTTTCGACAATGGCTTGCCCGGTGCTGTTGTATGGGATGCCATGCACCAAGGCGATGTTCCATTTCGAGGCGAATGCTTGGACTACCTTTGAGATGAAGTTTGGGCCGTTATCTGTTTTGATCTGTTTTGGAACTCCAAGCCATGCCATGGCTGTTAGCCAATGTTGGATGGTCGCTTTGGAATCGGTCTTGAGATGCTGTGTGGCCACGATCATGCCGCTGTACGTATCTACGGTAACTGCGAGCCACGCTTGGGGTTTCAACAGCTGGCATTGTGTAAAGTCTGTTTGCCATATTTCTGAGGCTTTGAGGCCTCTGGGGTTGACGCCACTCGACCACAGTGGCGACTTCTGGCAGTGGGGGCACGTAGCGACGACGTGCTTTGCGTCCACGGTAGAAATCCCGCACCTTTTCGCAAGCGCTTTAGCTCCGATGTGAAGGGATTCGTGCAACTGACGAGCTTCTTTCAGTGTCCATACGCCCTTTGCGGCGGCATCAGCCTTGTCGTTGCCTATTTGGTAGAATCCTTTGACCGGGTCGTGGCTGTTGACGTGGATGACTGATATGGTGCCTTTCCGTGAATAGAGTGCTTCCTCCAGCATCATTGCCACTGTGGACACTGACACACACTGACACACCTGGTCTGGACATGGCTAGGCAGAGCTTGGCCACAAATATGGAATCAGTCACAATGTTAAGGTGTTCTTCTGGGAACAGTCCGCACGCTAGCACTACAGCTGCTGCTTCAAGCTGTTGGACCGAAAGCGTGGGGTCGGTTGCCTTGACACATTGCCACTGTTCTCCTGACTGCCATACTGCCGCCGCGGTGGAGGTCTGCGATGATGCGTCTGTGAAGATGGTTGGTCCCGCCCTCAGTCGGTCAAGTACTTTTGGTGGGAGGTCGATATCGATGATCGTGAGCAGCCGAGTCCAAGGGGGTTTTTCCGCATAGCGAATCTCTCCTCCAAAGCCTGTAAGGGCCATGGCTAGATATTCCGATATTGTTGTTGACTGCGCAGAGAGCTGTTTGCGGAGAGGCAAGCTTATCCTGGAAGGTTCCATGCCCAGATGCCTTAGGGCGAGTTTCCTGCCTTTCATGATGAGGCTGCAGAGGCACTCGACTCCCGGGGAAAAGGCACACGACGGTTTCCCCAAGACCACCCATAGTATTGGTTGGGCCTTGTCGGGGGGTCCTTGGGCTAAGGCTCCCACTCCCCCCTTTTTTGTAAAGTGGACATACAGATCGACTGGAGCACTTGAGTCCCATCTGGTGAGCATGCTCTCTGACATCTGACGTTTGATGAAGTTGAGCGAGCTTACCCCTTCCGGTGTCAGGGTTTTTTGCTCCCATGGGTTCTACCCTTTCAAGAGGTCATTCAGAGGGTCCATGACCTCGGGAGGAATCAGGACGATGTTGCGGAGCCACTGTAAGGACCCTACCAGCTGTTGCATGTCGTGGAGCGTCTTGATGTCTCGGCGGATTTTCATCTGGGGAGGAGTTATGTAGGAGCTTGTGATTCCCACTCCTAGGAAGGTCACGCACAGTCCCTTTTTTATTTTTGCTCTCGCTACCTCAAAGCCATTTGTCCTTAGGGTCTCGGAGATGGTAGACACCAGCTGGTCCACTTGTCTCGTGGATGGTGCGGCGATCAGGACGTCGTCCATGTACTGCACGATGGTTACAGTCGGATTGCTCTGCCGGACTGGTGCTAGCGCTCGGTCCACGGTGATCTGGCAGATGGTCGGGGAGTTGAGCATTCCTTGTGGAAGCATCCTCCATTGGAAGCGTAGGTTGGGCCGCTGGCTGTTCGGGAAGACAATGGAGAAGGCGAAACGCTCCTTGTCGTCTTCGTGCAGGGGAATAGAAAAGAAGCAGTCTTTGATGTCGAGCACTGCACAGGGTTGTCCTTTCGGTATCACAGAGTTCATGGGCAGCGAAGTTTGCACAGGGCCCATAGGCTGGATTCTCTTGTTCACTTCTCGCAAGTCGTGCAGGAGTCGAAAGCCTTCACCAGATCGCTTAGGTATTACGAAGACAGGAGTGTTCCATGGACTCGGGGAGGGTTCTATATGATTCTTGTGTAATTCATGGCTAACTAACTCAATGAGGGCAGTCATTCGAGGCGTTGACAAGGGCCACTGTTTGACCCACACTGGGTCGGCTGATTTCCAAGTCAGCTTGATGGACAATGGCGGGTACGCGACAGTGGCCCTTAGAATAAATTTGTCATCCTAACATCCAGCAGGGCTAGGGCATCCCTCCCTAGCAAGGGTGGGCAGTCCAACATCACATATGCAGTGAGGGTGATAGTTCTTCCCGGTCCTCTCTCGGTGCAGAGGGTTATTGCCACTGGTTGGGTGCTCTTGTGGGCTCACAGGACAGCCCTCCAACTCCGCCCACCATGGGGGCTACTTCTAGCTTCCTTGGTCGAGGCCAATGTATGTCTGGGATGACAGTGACATCTGACCCCGTGTCCACCCAAAAGGGAAGGCAGATGGCCGAGTCGTCGGAGCTGTTGTGGAGACGACACACTGCCCACACGATCAGTGGGTGTTTCCCCACCTTCGCGGCGAAGGCCACCCATGGGTCCCGTTCCCATGCTTTCATGGCCAAAGCCACCCAGGGGCCTCGGCCCCAGGGAGCTGTTCTTGGTATTCCTGAGGTGCAGATGGGTTCGATTGAGCCTTTGGCTGGGCGACAAAGTTGGTCATTCCCTGAGGGGGTGGAGGTGGTGGGCATGAGAGCCCTGTGCCCCATTGGGCGTTGCTGTAGCTGGGCCACTGCATGTTCCAGGTGGGAGGAGGCTGGATACGGCCCGGCTGCCCCCTCCCTCTCCCGTTTCCCTGATGCCTGGATCTGCATTCCTTAGCTAAATGCCCTTTCTTTCCACATGCCCAGCATGGTCCCCTAGGTCTCCCCTGGCGTGGTGGAGCAGCTGCTGGTGGGCGTCCTGACTGGGGGCAGTTTGTTGCCACGTGCCCAGCTTGGCCACACTTAAAGCATGCCATGACACTCGTTATTGCGGTGTGAACTGCTGCCTGAATGGGAGCTAGGTGTTCTTCCTTTGCAACGTGTCTGATCATGGCAGCTAGATTAGACCCTTGCGGCAGTGACCTTAAAATGTCCTTGGTGGCTGAGTTGCATTGCTGGCGTAGGCACTCTGCCAGCACAGGACCCTTTGCCTCTGAGGGTAATGTTGAGGAGTCCAAGGCAGCCTGTAAACGATCCACAAACTGAGTGAAGCTTTCACTCTCACTCTGCTTTATTGTGGACCAAGGCGACGGTTTGGCTATTACTTTGGAAGCAACACGGATGGCTTCTCGGGCAGCACGGGTTGTTGTCATAACCTCATGTGCCCGCAAGCCCTCAGCCTGTGCCTGAGGGGTGATCATTGTAGGGTCTGTGCCCATTAGCCTCTGTATGCTGGAGCCGTGCAGTGGATGGTCTGCCCCTGTTACCAGGGCCAGCTGCTTAATACAGTTATCCTCCCATTCCTGCTTAAAAACGATCATCCCTGCCCCATCAAAGAT